AATGTCAAATAGATGACATTAAGTATGAGATTAATATCGTATTTGTTATACAAAACTATTTCAGTTTCTCCTTTCCAAGTTAAATAAGAGCCTGGTGACATCATGCACTGAGCTAACGTTAAGCTTCCTTATGTGTCTCTGCCCACCTCCTGCCCTCAGCTAATACTGACCTGTTCTGAAGTCGTGCTCCATGTGGGGACCCACGATATTGGGAAGAAGAGGGCTAAGATACTCCAGGGCGAGTATCAAAGCTGGGGAACAAACTCAAGGCCAGAACATCCAAGGTGGTGAACTCTGGGTTAATCCCGGTGCCTCAGGCAACGGGGCACCATAATGAAAGGATCAGACGTATCAACGACAGGCTGGAAAAATGGTCCAGAAAAGAAGGTTTCCGTTTCGTGGACAATTGGGACCGCTGGGGGAGGTGGGATTATTACCTTGCGGATGGGTGGCATTTAAGCAAGGCAGGGGTTAGCTTTCTGGCCAAGAGATTATCGACTGCTTGGGGGGCTAACTTAAACTAGTGGCGAAGGGGGATGGGTATCCCAGGATAAACTATAGATTAGGCAATAGAGGAAAAAGACAAGTGGGAAATATGGAGCAGGTACATGTGGACAATTTCCTCAAATGCATGTACCTAAATACACGTAGCTGAGGGAATAAGGTTGATGAGCAGTAGGTTCAACTACCCGAGGGGGTTAAGATGTGGTAGCAGTAACTGAGACATGGCTCAAGCCAGGACAGGAATATGAGATAAATATTCCAAGGTATAACGTGTTCAGGAAGGATAGAGAAGGAAGAAAGGGTGAAGCGGCTCCAATATTAGTTAAGGATACAGTTGGAGCAAGAAAGGGACGGAACTCTGGAGGGCGCGGCAAAGTAATCGATCTTGTTAGAGGTCAGAAATAGGAAAGGTGTGGTTACACTGATAGGGGTTTACTAAAGACCACCAGCTAGCGGGATGGAGGTAGAAGAGCAGATCTGCAACCAGATCACGGACAGATGTAGCGTGAAGAGAGTTGTCATAAATGGGGATTTCAATTATCCCAATATAGAACAGAAAAATAGCAGCGTTAAGGGCAAGGCAGGAGAAAGATTCAATCAACTGTGTACAGTTAAATTTTCTTGAGCAGTATGTCTCCAGTCTTACAAAGAAGGAAGCATTGCTGGATTTTGTCTGAGGGAATGAAGTCGGTCAGGTTGAATTCGTTTCGGTAGGGGAGCATCTAACTAAAAGTGACCACAATATTACTAGATTTAGATTACTCATGAACAAGGACAATGTGCAGTCAAGGGTGAAAATGCTTGACAGGAAAAGAGCTAATTTTGATGGGCTACAACAGCAACAACACGATTTCATCTATTGAGCGCCTATCACGTCGGGCGGGATTCCCAAGGCGCTGGACAGTTGGGTCAGGATTCCAGCAGGGGTGAAATGGTCAGGGTGAGGGGAGGGAAGGGAGCGAGAGAGGAGGGGTCAATGGTCAGAGTGAGCGGAGGGAAGGGAGTGGGCGAGGAGGGGGTAGAGAGGGGAGTTGAAGGCAAGGTCAAAGAGAAAAGTCTTGAGACCGGTATTGAAAGAGGAAAGGGAAGAAACAAGGCGAAGGCACAGGGGGATAGCGTTCCAGAGCCGAGGCGCTGAGAGGCGGAAGGCCCGCCCATCGATGGTAGGGCGGTTGGGGCGGTGGATGTGGAGCAGAACGGAGCCAGAGGAACGGAGGGTACGGGCAGGGAGATAGGGGGATAATAAGTCGGAGAGGTAGGAGGAAGCAAGGCCGTGAATGGCCTTGTAAGTGAGGATGAGGATCTTGAAATCGATCCTCTGGTGGATGGGGAGCCAATGGAGGCGTGCGAGGGTGGGAGTGATGTGGTCGTTAAGCCTGAGTTGGTCGTTACTGCGGCACAGTACACGAGCTGCAGAGATCTGAATGACCTGCAGCTTGTGGAGGGAGGGCCGGGAAGGCCGGCGAGGAGAGAGTTCCGATAGTCCAGCTTTGAGGTGATAAAGGCGTGGAACAGAGTTTCAGCAGCGTGAGGGGTGAGGTAGTGCCGTAGTGTGGTGATGTTTCGGAGGTGATGGAAGGCTTTGCCAGTTGTGGCTCGGATATGAGGGAGAAAGGACAGCTCAGGGTCGAACAGAACCCCGAGGTTCCTGATGGCTTTGAGAGGTGGAGAGTGCGGCCTTGGATGTTGATGCTGTCAGCGCCTGAGGTGCGGAGGCCCTGACACGAGCCAATCAGGAGGGCCTCAGTTTTTACGCAAGTTGAGCTGAAGAAGTTAGGTTTAGGATTAGGCTTATGTTTACGGTTAGGGATAGCGTTAGAGTTAGGCTTAGGGTTACTCACACAGACCCTCACAGAGATCCTCACACATACCCTCATACACCACACATACACAGCTTCACAAAACCTCACACACTCTTGCAACTACACCCTCACACACTCTCACACACACCCTAACACACACCACTTACACACCCCTCACACACACTCTCACACAACCGCTCACACAATCCTCACACAGACACTCACACACACCATCACCCACACTCACATGCACCCCTGACGCACACACACTCTCACACACACCCTCACACATACCATCACACAGACCACCACACACCCTCATACGCACCCTAACACACCAACCTCACACACACCCTCACACGCACTCTCACACAATTCCTCACACCAGCCCTCACACAAACCCACATACACACCCACACACGCACTCGCATACACCCTCACATACATTCCTGACAAACACATCCTCACACACACAGTCACACAAACACACACACACAAAGGCTCACACCCTCACACACAACCTCACAAACTCCCTCACGCACATACACTCACACACACTCTCAGACACACACCCTCAAACATTCTCTCACACAGCCCCTCTCACATCCCTTTAAGCACACACACAGTGAGATGTAACATTGGCCAGAGAGTCTGTCAACAGGAAAGGAGAAATCAGACGGTCGCCACAGGATGGATACTGGGTTGTGTGACTCAGATACAGGAATAAATATAAAGCTGGTACCTCACCCCCTACCCGCCTGTCCCTGAGAGAGACACCTGGGCAGGTGGGAATATACCTGGACTATGAGGGGGAACAGGTGCCATATTACAAAGCTGATAACATGTCTCATCACCAAACTTTCACCCAGACTTTCACTGAGAAACTTTATCCTTTTTTCAATCCCTGTGGGAATGACGGCGGCAAAAACTGTGATCCTCTGAGGATCTGCCAGGTGACAGGTTTGTGAGGAGGAGACCCTCAGCCATGACCTGTGTTTGGCTGTGGTGGCCACCAGGCTGAAACTTTTATAATCTGTGTCGCTATAAAATAAAGCTTGTTGTTTATATTACACTTTTCACACTGGGCCCACGTCTCAAACCTTTCTCGGGATCGACTGTGAAGCGACGGTTGTGTTTGTTACTAAATGTGGAGTCAACTTGCACAGAAGAAAGTCTACATTGAGTCACATTTCACACCGTAAACATCAGGCTGGCGCTTTCAGCTCCTGATCTCGACAATAATAATACTTGCATTGCACACAGCTCCTCATCACGTCTGACAGACGTCTCAAAGCCCTTCCCAGGCTTCCTAGATCTGCATTTACAGGACGTGGAGTCCTGTAGCTCAGAGGTTAGAGCACTCGCTTTGCAAGCGAGAGACCTGAGTTCAATTCCCGGCAGAGGGCGAAACCTTGGGCAAGTTTCCTTACTCCACACAGAGCCTAATATTAATCCCTCCAAAAAACAAAACAATAATAAATTGGTCATTTTCAATCTACGACTGTTTGTTGGACATTGCTCTGCGCAAATGGCTGCCGCGTTCGCCCACAAATATACAGTCAATTCACTTTACAGTGTGTTCTGTAAAGCGCTTTGGGACGTCCTCCCAACGTGAAAAGCGCTATATCAATTGCAAGGATTATTGTTATTATTATTATCCTTGTGTTTGACCCAGCGCCGTAATCACACATTCGAGTCGTCCGAACGCGCTTCACAGAATAGTGTAGTGAATGCGTTTTTTCCAGGAGTGACTGTAAAGTGTCTGTGTAAATACTCCTGTAGCTCAGGGGATAGACATACAGACATACATACAACACACAGACCTACAAACACGCTGACACACACGCTCATGCGCGCATAGCGACACACACCGACAGAACACAGAGAGACACACACATACATAGACAGACAGAGACAGACACACACAACCACACACACACCAAGGACACTAACGCAGACATATACACGCGCAGGCACATACACACACACACACACACACGCACACAGAAAGAGACGCAGACACACATATACAGACACACAGACAGTCACACATAGAGAGAAACACCCAGAAAGAAACATACAGACACGCAGAGACACACAGAACGACACGCCCACAGAGCGAGACGCACAGACACACACACACACACACGAGGAAGACACATGCACACACACATACACACACAAATACACAGCTGTGTACACGCCTGTTCAGCAGTTAAAGTGTCACCACACGTATTGGAGCAGCTTTCAATTCAGCATTGCTTTATAATTATTCGATAATATTAAGACTGTTCGTTCATCTGCTCAGAATCCAGGACAGCAGACTTACTAGTCATATTGTAACACGATACCAACACTTATATCCCTGTCATCTCATATCATTTGGAATAAAACGCTGTTTGTGCACTTCACTCTGTAAATTTTGGCAAACGTTTAAAATCTTGCAAGTGTAGCAAACAGCCAGTGACTTGTCAAACTGCATTCAGTTGATTTTCCAAGAAGTACCGCTCCCTATTTTCAGAGAGAACTATCAGGAATGTGTCAGATGGAATGTGTTTCGGCCTGAACTTACCCTTCAATCACGTATGAGCGTCTCTCACATACCTTCATATAACCAGCCATAGTCACATTACCCACAGCTTGATGCTGGTTGTCTGGGAGAAGAATATGAAGTGCCTACTGTTTGGTGACCAGGAGACAACATGTTGAAGGAGCTGGTGGTTTCCAGTCACTGCGGAAAAAGCCAAACTGGGGAGCAGCTCAGTACATCCTCGTGGTCAATGGTGAGCAAACATCTGCTGAACCTTCTCTTCTTTCCCTTCTCCACCTGATGCTCTTCAAAGCTTTGCTCAATGCGGTGTCTGTTGTGGTGGACTATTCCTCGTGTGTGGATGGACTATGTGCGACGCCTCATCTTAGCGTCGTGGCGTTGTTTAGGTTTGTGGTTGTCGCTCTCGGCTCTCAAACGAGAGAACCCGGGTCTCATTCATGGCAGGGCGAATCATAGGGCAAGCTTTCTTTTCCACACGGCCTGTTTACTGAGCAATAAGTAAGAACCTGGTTGTCAGCCAACTGGCTGCCCGCATTCCACGGATAATAATCCCTTCAATATAATGATAAAAATAATTTGTTCACTGTGCCCGCATCTTTTCGCCCACAACACATATAGTCAGTTGACTGTACAGTATATCGTGTAATGTTTTCTGAGACTTCTTGAGAACATTAAATGTGCTATATCATTTACGAGGATTATTGTTATAACATTATTGGTATACGTACACTATTTCGCAGCATCAATTTTGTATGGAGATGAATTGAGATGGATAAAACGAGTTGGATCCTGTATGGTCCACACTCCATTTTCCGAGAGAGAGAGATTAGGGCAAGAGCGCAAAATGATTCCTCCTCCACAGACCAGCAGCGATGAGGCCAGCCGCCTCTCCTCCACCACCGGAGGGTTCATAGGCTGAACAGATAATTGTCAATGTGTCCAGCTCTCAGGGAAGTGAGGAGGCCACAAAACGCACCAACTTTCTGGGTCACTTGACACATGTAAGCGGTTGTTTTGTTTCGTTATGTTATCTCTGCAGCAAAGGTGAATATTGTAAGCCCAGTCATGACGGGTTCTGTGTGTTTGTGAATTGCGACCCATCCCACCCCTCAGGGCCTCAGGTTCCAGCTTTAATCATAGAATCATGGAACACTAAAGCACAGACGGAGGGCATACGGCAAACCTTGTGGTGGGGGTTAAGTGGGATCCCCTTGGAGCTGAATTGGCTCCAAGATAACATGCATGGCAAAGCAAAGTCGGAATAGAGCCAAATTTATGTGGCGGTCTCTCGTCCGCTTCCTGAGCCAAGCAGCTCCACTGTGTACCAGGGCTCAGCTGATGTCAGCACAGCGCAGCCGTATATGCCCTCCAGTACTCTTGTTCCAACCCGTCCCACTAACCCACACTTTCTCCATTTATTCGCACTTCACCAATTTTACGCCAACTATCTTCACCCGTCTGCTCTTAGCCCAAATCGTCCAGCACCCAACTCCTCTCGCTCGCTGTAATCATAAATAGTACCACGCGATCTTTTCCAAATAGTCTCACTATCCCGCTCTGACCCCAAATGGTCCCAATTACCCCGCTCTTACACCACATAATCACGATCCTCCAATTCTTAGCACAACAAGCCCCACTCTACCGCTCTTACCCCAATTAGTCTCACTCCCCTGTTCTTTCCCCAACGAGTTCCGCTATCCCACGATAACCAGAATTCATCCCACTCCCCTGCTGTTACGCGAAATAGTCACAATAACTTAGTTTTAACCCCAACTTGTCCAAATCCTCCGCTGTTACCCCAGAAAGCCCAAATCCCCTGCGCTTATCTCAACTTGTCACAAACGCCTGTAATTAACTCAAACAAGATCACACGCCATTCTTTCAGAAACTAGACCCAATCATCCATTTCTACCCCATCTATTCCCATTTCCGCATTTTTATTCCAACTCGTCCCTATCCCCAATCCTAACCTCACTTGACCCACTTCCCTGCTCTGACCCAACTAAACCCACTCGCCCATTCTTACAACAAGCAGTCCCACTGCTCCACTTTTACCCTAATTAGCCACACTCCCCCGGTTTTCCGCCAACTGGTGCCAATCACCCGCTACTACCCCAACTACCACAAATCCCTTACTATTACAACATAAAGTCTGAATCCGCCACTATTAGCCCACCTCAGCCAACGCCCCCGCTCTGACCACAACGGCTCGGACTCAGCCTGCTGTTACCGCAACTCTACATAGCCTTATCCAAACTTGTTCCATTCCCCTGGTCTAAGGAGGGTTACCGAAGACCGAAGAGGAGAATCTTGCGATGTGTCTTGAAGGAGACAAGGCAGCGCACGAGTTAAAAGATTGTGAGATGGTGTTCCAAAAGTTGAGGGCAGAAAATAAAGAAGAAATTTTTGTTTTTTTGATTTTCGGTAGATTATTCTAAACCTCAGCAGCTCTGCCAGTAAATTAAACACACAGTGACTTGTCAGACGGGTTGGATTGGATAATTGACAAGCAACACACCCTTTGGTGAGAGTCAAATTTCAGGAGCAGTTCAGATCATAAACAACCTGAGAGCTGCAGCCAGTCGGTCCAGCAGGAGGGAACCAGCAGCTTGTAATAAAAACAGAACAGTAGAAATGAGAATTAAAATGCCAAAGACTAATGTAGAAGGTTTAACATGAAGGTGCGGTTTATCTAAAGTTCTTTATGAGGCCGCGTTGAATACTTATATCATTTTGAGAGCCCCGCATCGCCTGGAGACCAGGATTTGCTCATGTGCCAAGTACAGTTCAGCAGGTAATGTCTTAACCCATCAATTTTATATGTGATTCAGGTTTGTTGGATGAATTGTGTTCAGCGAACTTTATATCCGGACGACCAGGTGTTTGCTCATGTACCGAGCATCAGTCAGTAGCAGAAGTGTTGAAAGATTGATGTTGGAATGCAAGTCCCGACAAACAAACTTTATTGAATACTTATGAACATTTTTGCTGAAACTCTTTCAATTCTATTGACGTCTTAAAATCCCTTTGAGGAAATTTAAAAACTCAAAAAACAATAATAAATTGGTCATTTTCAATCTACGACTGTTTGTGGGACATTGCTGTGCGCAATTGGCTGCCGCGTTCGCCCACAAATATACAGTCAATTCACTTTACAGTGTGTTCTGTGAAGCGCTTTGGGACGTCCTCCCGACGTGAAAAGCGCTATATCAAATGCAAGGATTATTATTATTATTATTATTATTCCCTGCTCCATGTTCCCCAACCGAACTGTCCCGCAATCGGCAGTCAGGATTTCAGACCATGACTGTCGGAAACTCCGTAGCAGTCTCCTTCTGTCTCACATAGAGCTGGAAAAACGGTTCTGACGAATGTTAATGGACACGAAACGTTGACTAATTTTCTTACTCATTAGAAGATGCCTGACCTGCTGAGGTTTTCCAGCTCTTTGTGTTTTAGATTCGCATTCCGGCATCTGCCGTATTTTATCTTTTGTTTTCTTCCGTCTCATCTCTATAAAGGTCCGTCTCAATTCCTTCAACGTTGAACTTGGCTTTTTGCAACATTTCTCTCCCAAACTCCTCTGTTCTCACCTTCAGCTGGGTGTCCAACCACGGTTATCAAGTGCCCTCCCAAAATGACAGGCACTGTATGAATTCTGTGCAGGGCAGTTTAAGAAGCCTTGGAGAGCGGGAAGAGAAGACTTATGAGAATTAGACCAGTGTCGAGGGATAACAATTATTAATAGAGACGAGAGAAGCTGGGATTGTTTTCTTTGGAACACAGAATGTTAAATGGCGATTTAGTAGAAACATTCAAAAATTATGGGGATTTATGATAGAATAGACAGGGAGAAATTGTTTCCACTGGCAGGTGGGTCACTCCAGAGCCAATAATCCTGAGCACTAGAGAATCAGTCATTTGGAAACATTGTGATTTCCCAAGTTGCCAACCCAGAAGTAAATTGACAGTCTTGGCCTGAGTCTTCTCAAGGCCCCACTGTCTTCAGTGTTAATCCACCAGAGAAACTGGCATCTCATACATAGAGATGTTACTCCTGATGTGGACACTGGCTTCAACCTGCACCTATCACAACAGCATACAGTGTGGGTTTAACACCGACATACCTGTTGTTCACAGTGGATCGGGCACCTGGCAAACAGTCAACGCAGAAACGAAGCTTGCAAATACCTCCTGGGCATCGTGACCAGCGTGATTGGCCGGGCACAGAGAACACTGTGGGAAACCTTGGTGAAAATGCAGGAAAACAAAGCCAAGATTCTAAAGATACTGAGAGAGATCCCGGAAAAGAGTATGTGTCCATACTAGCCTGTGACGAGGAGCAAACCGACATCAATATAGAACACCAAACATACACTCACTTTCAGATAGGACAACAAACACAAACTGGCAGCTACATAGTACAGCAAACACACACTGACATCAATATAGTAATCAAAAACACACTGACATCCATATACTGCATCATACAGACACTGACATCTATATAGTACAGCAAACACACACTTACATCTATATGTTAAATCGAACACATACCACATATTTATTGTGCATCAAGTACACGGACATCTATGCTGTATGTATTGTTGCCCTATCAAAAGCACTGAAATCGAAATTGTCTATTTAATTTTGTGTCAAGCAAAGATTGACGGAGCAAATCTCTATTCCAGGTATCAGTCTGCTTGCTATGGCGCAGTGGAGTGGAAAGGTGGAGCCATTGTCAGATAGCCTGAGAGGTATGACACAGATTGATGTGAAGATTTGTATTGATATCTTGTTGTCCAACGGACAAATGTGGATAAACTGATATTATGGTGCCAGTGAGCAACAGAGCCATGTTGTGTGGAGTCTAGGCCGTAGGGTTTTGAGGATAGAGGAATGTTTCCGGGCTACAACATGTTTTGATTGTGTTTCACACGAAAGATTCCACGTCACAGTCTGATGTTTGCCACATTAATAAATCTGCAAAGTTTCTGAATTATAATTGTATAATTCTGCGAATGTTTCCGGTTATATTGCTAATTGTCAGCGCGGTGTTCTACATCATCTTTGGTTGTAATATTTTGGGATTAGATCGCTAACATTTACATAACATTCACATTCAAGATATTCAAAATCACCACAAAGGAACCCTTCGCTCCCAGAATAAGCAGCTGTCAGTACACAAACTGCGAGGCCGGGAGAAAAGCAAGACATTTCTACTGTCTGACCGCTACACGGTATTAATAGTCACTTCATCTCCCCGTGATCGGAGGCTGGTGGAGAATGAACTGGTGTCGACAGGCAGAGACCATGAGGAGTGGCAAGAGAAGAATGTCAGGAAGGAACTGGAGACAATACAACCGGATCAGCTGTTCGGAAGTAGTTTTGGGAGAAACCGATGTGGGACCACCATCCTGAGTGGAATCGCAGGGATTGGGAAAACCACCATAGTGCAGAACATTCTGTGTGGCTGGGCCACAGGGAAGATCTATCCCCAGTTCCACTTTGTCTTTCATTTCAAATTCCGTGATCTGAACGTTATAAAAGGGGAAACAAGCCTGAAAACCATGGTTCTGGAATCATATCCTTATCTTCACGATGTTCTGGACATCATCTGGGAGAAGCCGGAACATTTGCTATTTGTGTTTGATGGTTTGGATGAGTTCAAATGCAAGATTGAGTTCAAGGACAAGATTGGGTGCAGAGAGAGAAGGAGAAACCAAGCCCCGAGGGTCAGCTGCCCGGGACCTCAAGGCCTCTGTCCCGTGGCTGAAATTGTCCGATGTTTGGTGCAGCAGGAAGTACTGAAAGGCTGTTCAGTGCTCATCACAAGCCGGCCAACTGCCCTAGAGTCTTTAGATCACATCCACACCAATCTCTGGGCTGAAATAATGGGATTCTTCGCTGATGGAAGGGAAGAATACATCAGTCGCTTCTTTCCACTTAAGAAGATTGCAGCTGAAGTGCTGAGATATGTGAAGGAGAATGACCTCCTGTACACCATGTGTTTCAACCCTTCCTACTGCTGGATCCTCTGTTGCACATTGGAGCCAATCTTCAAAAATCCAGAGTGCAAACAGCCGCCCCCCAAAACTATCACCCAGCTGTACTCCAATTACATCTACAACATCCTGAAGAACCATCCACGAGCTGGTGAGAGCCCTCGGGAGTCGATGCTGAGAGCCGGGGAGATGGCCTATGAGGGGATCTGTAACAGGACCATTGTGTTCGATGATGACCATTTCCATCGCCATCTGCTTGAACCCTCAAACTTCATCTCAGGGTTCATGATGGAGATTCTGGAGAAGGATGATGGTGGGAGAGGAGTTGTGTACACATTCCCTCACCTCACCGTCCAAGAATTTGTGGCTGCTCTCGCCCAGTATCTGACTCCCGTCCGTAGGAACCTGCTGGAGATGCTTGACCAGGTTCACACAATGAACGATGGGCGCTTTGAGATCTTCCAGCGGTTTGTTGTGGGTCTCTCCTGGCCTCACACAACTCGGCAGCTGGAGGAGATCCTCGGGTCGTTACCTCACGCCTCAGTCTGTGAAGCCATCACCTGGCTGAAGGTGAACGTGGAGGCGGCGATTAAAGAGTCAGGGAGTGAAGATGGTAAAAGGAAGCTGCTGAATATGATGTACTATCTCTTTGAGTCTCAGAACTACAGACTGGCCCAGGTCACACTTGGAGCTGTGGAGACACTGGACTTTAGTAGGATCAGGTTGAACCCTCTGGACTGTGCTGTGCTGTCGCATGTGTTACAGCTCTGTTGCACTGTAGAAACCCTCGATCTCGAAAGCTGTAACATCGGAGCTGAAGGGATCCATCGTCTGGGGCCCGCACTGCGCATGTGCCGACAGCTCAGGTTTGCCCTTATTGGTGGTTACGTTCAGAAATCTGGAGAATGTCGGCCAGTTATTGAGTGGTGTGAGCGATGGTTCAATGTCACGTTTTCGAGACGTCTCAAAGCGCTTCGCAGGTTACTTTGTATAAGTGTAGTGACGGTTTATTTTGTGGGCAACAATCGACAGCCAATGGCGCACAACTATTTCCCCAAAAAGAGAGATAGAGTGNAAAAAATATTAAATTGTTTTTGTCAATCGACTCACAATCGGGTTCCTATACACTGCCAGGTAAACAGAGGCGTGTGAGTGGAGGGAGGAAACTTGCCTCAGGCTTTGGCGAGATGTAGGTTATAATATTGTCTCTTTAGGTTATAATTCCTAATCAGAATATGTCTGTAAATGAGCCTCGATATTAAAGCCATGACTTGTGAGCACTGGCCGAGACCTGATTGGTGATGCTCAGAGACACCAACTGCTGTGACCTGAGACATCTCTGTGGCTCTCCCTATCCCAGTCGTTCAATCCCTGTCCACTATTCGCCCCGCAGTCTGATCTGAATCCACACGCAACACAATAGCCCCACACAGCCTTCGCTCAACCTACAGCTTACGTCACTATATTGACTTAATCATATCTTATGTTGTAACAAGAATCAAAGGGTTTATGTTACTTCACTGACGCATTTACTCTCTCACAGATCAGTCCTGCAGTGACAGAGATACAATACTTATCTTCAGAAAGAGATACTGAGGGAGACTGAGAGAGAGAGAGAGAGTGGTCGTTAGTGGGAGAGAGAGATTGAGAGCGAGAGAGAGACACAGATAATAATAATCCTAATAATAATAATTCTTGCATTTGATACAGCGCTTTCCACGTCAGGAGGTCGTCCCAAGGTGTTTCACAGAACAGACTCTAAAGTGAATTGACTGTATATTTGTGGGCGAACGCGGTAGCCAATTGCGCACAGCAGTGTCCCACAAACAAATGATTGAAAATGACCAACTTATTANTTTTTTTTGGAGGGATTATTATTATTAGGCATGTGGAGTAAGGAAACTTGCCCAAGGTTTCGCCCTGCCGGCAAACGAACTCAAGTCTCTACTTGCAAAGCGAATGATCTAACCACTGAGCTACAGCATTCCACTGAAGAAAAAGACAAAGAGAGACTGCATGAGAGAAACATAGCGAGAGTTTGTACGCTTGTGTGTGCGAGCGACAGGTGGAGAGATGCTCTTGGAGAAAGAGACTGACAGAGTGACTGGGAGGTAGAGAGAGACTGACAGATAGACTGAAAGTTTGAGAGTGAGAGCGAGAGACAGAGAAAGAGTGGTGGAGAGCTAGTAAGAGTGAGAAAGAAAAAGAGAGACGAAGAGAGAATGAGAGAGTGGGGTCTGGGGGATGGGGATGGGTGGAGTACCGATGGTGGGGATGAGTGAGAGTCTGCGTGTGTATGTGAGTGTGTGTAGGTAAGAGTGTGTGACTGATAGAGGAAGAGACTGAGAAAGAAATGAAAGCGAGACAGTGAGTGAGTGAGGGAAAGTTAGAGAGAGAGAGAGAGCGAGAGAGAATGGCGGAGAGAATGTGAGACAGAAATACAGAGAGATTGAGAATGAAAGACTGAGAGAGAAAGAGACAGAGCAAGATACGGAAAGGGAGATGGGTGAGAGGCAGGGAAAAAGACCGAGAGATAGACAGAGAAAGAGAGGGAGAGAGTGACGGAAAGCGAAATGCAAAGAGTAACGGAGAGAGTAACGGAGAGAGTCATGGACAGAGAGACACAGATTGAGAGACAGCGACTGAGAGATTAAGATAAAGAAAGTCTGGGAGAAAGATAGAGATTTACTGAGATACTGAGAGAGAGACGTAGAACATGAGAGAGAGCGAGAGCCAGAGAGAGAGAAAGAGAGAGGGAAATAGACTGAAAACGTGTGAGAAATAAACAATGAGACAGAGAGGAACGAAGTGTCATCCTGAGAGAAACTGAGACATAAACTCACAGGGAGAGAATTAGAGAGACTGAGAAAAAGAGAGAATGAGGGAAAGAGAGACTGAGTGTGTGAGAGAGAAAGAGAGACGGAGACTGATAGAGAGACAGAGAGAGAGAAAGAGGGGGTGGGGTTGAGAAAGAGGGAGGACGGGGGGTTTACCAACGTTACCAACCTGTCGGGTCTCGGCGGGTCCTGAACTGTTCCATGTTCCAGGCCCTTTCCGCTCCATCATCAGCGGCCGTATCTTAAGCCTCTGTGCCCCCACCCTCTGGAACTCCATCAAGGAGACCCTCAGCCTCGCCCACTCCGTAAACAACTTCAAAGGCCGTCTCAAAATCTTCCACTACAGTTGCCCTCCCACACCAATCACCTGCTCTCCAACCGTTTCTGATCCCAACCCCAGCTCGGAGGCAAAGCCCAATTTATTCAGCCTTGGGACGTCCTCCTGATATGAAAGACGCAAAAATTGCCGTTTGCAAATAATTTCACACAGCGAGTTGCTGGGATCTGGAATCATTGCCTGACGGAAGCCGATTGAATAACAATTTTAAAGAGCGATGCAGATAATAATAATAATAATAATAATAATCATTACATTTGATATCAATTCACTTTACAGTATTTTCTGTGAAGCGCTTTGTGATTTCTAGAAGATGTGAAAAGCGTTATATCTAATCATAATTCACAGATAATTATTTGAGGTATACAAGTTTGCAGGGCAATGACGGTAGAGAAAGTGGGGGATTGGGGATGATCAGGGCTATGGGGAGAGAGAGAGCGAGCGGGGTCGTGGGATTGATATGGGTTATGGGGTGAGAGAGAGGAAGAGAGAGAGAGAGGGGGGGGCGTGGAATTGATCAGGGCTATGGGGAGAGAGAGAGTGGTCGTGTGGGGAATGGGGTTGATCAGGGCGATGGGGAGAGAGCGCGGGGGAGTGGGGTTGATCAGGGCTTCGGGGTGTGAGAGACAGCGGGGGAGAGGCGTTGATCGGGGCTGTGAGGTGAAAGTGAGCGAGGGACTGGGGTTTATCAGGGCTATGGGAAAGAGCGCTGGGGGGTGGGGTTGATCCGGGCTCGGGGGGAGACAGAGAGGCAGGGAATGATGGTGATTTGGAAACTGTTTTCATCGAGCTGCCGCAGACATGATGGGCGGAATGGCCTCCTTCTGTGCTGTGTAGTTCCATGACTCTGTGAATGTGAGTGTTTGTAGCTTCGGGTGCGTCTGACCCTGGTCCCCTCCCCTTGGGACTTGTTCCCCACGTGAAAGGCGACTGTATATAGATGTCAGTTTGTATTGTGTTGTTACACTATATTCACTGTGTTTCTGTCTCTGAGTCCAGGCTGGAGGGCAACAATCTGGGAGATTCAGGAGTGAAGCGACTGTGTGAGTCTCTGAGGAACCCGGAATGTCAAATAACGAGAGTGGAGTAAGTAACAGACTGTGAAATTGGAGTCAGGCAATGTCTCCGAACACAGATTATTACATTCCGAGAAGGAGGGGACAGTATTAATGCTGAGATCCTAAGTCCTACAAGGACTACCTGAGGGGCAGGATGTGGAGAGAAAATCAGTGAGATCAGAGGTGGCTCCCGCTCAGCTCCTGCTAACCATGTGAGACACAGTGTTTACAGGTTGGGGGCGGGATTGGTGGGGGGTCCTAGCTGGAAACCGATTGATGTTTCCCAGACGGAACTCTCTCCCCCTCTCTCTTTCTCTCTCTGTCTCTCACAGGGGATGTTATGGACGTTTAGCTGGTTATAGCCCACAGTCACTCGACTCCCCAACACACACTCTTGGGTCCCTGAGCTACGATGTTTGCCAACGTCCCCCCAAATGCTCCAACTCTGTACCACACTCAGGGCTATTTTCACGTGTCGATGGCAAACATGTCGCACTGTCCCTTTCCCCCTGTCACACAATGCCTATTGCATTCCCAGTGTCTCTAATAGTACGCAATGTTAGGTTTGCTCTGATCCCTATATCCGTCTGTGTCTCCGATCTGCAGCTATTAGAATACATAATAATAATAATAATGATAAACTTGGTGTTTGACACAGCGTCTGATCACGTCATCGAGACGTCTGAATGCGCTTCACGGAACCTACTGTAAAGCAAAATGACTGTGTCATTTGTGCGTGAAATGCAGCAGCCAATTGCGCACAGCAGCGCCCCACAAACAGTCGTAGAATCATGGACCAATTGTTTCATATTTTCAAGGGAATTCTATCCCCGGAAAAGCGATCGGCCAATTGACTAACGTCCAGGTTGGTATTTACTGCTGTGTAAACAGCGGCTTGTGGAGCGGCAAGGAACCCAATGTTTTGCCCGGAATCAAACCCGGGTGTCTCACTGGCGACTGAGTTCTATAACCACTGAGATAAGCGATGATCACAGAGTTTACTATGATTACTGTTACTTTCCTGTGTCTCTGATCTCCAGGCTCTGGAATAACAATCTGACAGCTGAGTGTACCGAGGATCTCGCCTCCGCTCTCAGTACAAACCAGTCACTGACAGAGCTGAACCTGAACGTTAATGAACTGAGAGATTCAGGAGTGAAGCGACTCTGTGCGGCTCTGAGGAACCCGGAGTGTCAGATTCAGAGTGTGGAGTGAGTAACAGACTCTATGAGAATACAATAACCCGAGGCTGAATTTCCCCGATATCTCAGGGTGTTATTGACAGTGGCTGATCAGTTGGTGCTGAATATTGTGTCAGGAATCGTAGTAATAGTGTGAGGCCATCAGCCATCCCAGTGATCACCAACTAAACATGGATTGACAATGAATCTGCACCGTGTGGTGGGAACAGCAGCTGTGGTGACGTGTGGCCAGGAGCAGCTCCTCCCCAGCTCACTCCAGCCAGGAAAATCAGCCCCGTTTATCCCATCCCAAAGCTCCTGTCCCATACATGTCATTCCCTCACTCCCTCACTCCTTCCCTCCCCCTAACTCCCTCCGCCACTACCTCCTTCTCCCCCTCCCTCTCTCCACACACTGCTACCCTCCCACCTAATTTCCTCCCTCCCATACTCCCTTCCTCCCTATTTCTCGTGGAGTCCTGCAGCACAGTGGTTAGAGCAGGGTTGGATTATAACCAGCGAAACCTCCACAGTTTGTCATTGAGAGCAATGTCTGGCTTCTGTCTCCTTGTCCATCTGGACCTGCCCCAGTGTTTGTCAGGCTCTGGCTTCCATTGAGGCCTGGAGTGGCCCAGACTCACTTATCCATACTGTGTTCCTCTGATCCCTGTTGTCCCTGTGTCTCTGATCTCCAGGCTGTATAATACACAGTAGTAAACACTGTGTTCCCTCTGCTCCCTGTTGTCTCTGTGTCTCTGAACTCCAGGCTGTATAATACACAGTAATAAACAGTGTGTTCCCTCTGATCCCTGTTTTCTCTGTGTCTCTGCTCTCCAGGCTGTATAATACACAATAATAAACACTCGTGTTCCCTCTGATCCCTCTAGTCTCTGTGTCTCTGATCTCCAGGCTGCATAATACACAGTAATAAACATTGTGTTCCCTCTGATCCCCGTTGTCTCTGTGCCTCTGATGTCCAGGCTGTATAATACACAGTAATAAACACTTTGTTCCCTCTGATCCCTCTTGTCTCTGTGTCTCTGATCTCCAGGCTGTATAATACACAGTAATAAACACTGTGTTCCCTCTGATCCCTGTTGTCTCTGTGTCTCTGATCTCCAGTCTCTATAATACACAGTAATAAACAATGTGTTTCCTCTGATCCCTGTCATGTCTCTGTGTCTCTGATCTCCAGTCTGTATAATACACAGTAATAAACACTGTGTTCCCTCTGATCCCTGTCATGTCTCTGTGTCTCTGATCTCCAGGCTGGAGAGTAACAGACTGACCGATGGCTGCACTGATGACCTGGTCTCCGCTCTCAGTACAAGCCGCTCACTGAGGAAACTGGACCTCGGGTCTAACTCCTTCACAGACGGCTCTGTCCCCGCTCTCCGCGGCCTCATACAGACCTGCACCAGTCTGGAGGAGATCGGGTGAGTGTTTATGTCAGTCTTTAATGTGATAAACACACATAGAAAGGGCTGGGTATCGGAATGGGGACAGTTTGCGGGGTTTGCTTATATATTGAACTGCGACATGAACAGTTTACAGTTTGTATTATTATCCATTGGATTTGTTTGCTGTGTTTCAGGCTGAGGGGGAACGGGTTCAGCTCAGACGGAAAGATTCAGCTGGAGTCACTGCGGGAAATGAGAGCGGTCCTGACAGTGAGAGTGTGACACTGACTGAGGCAGTGACTGTCCACACAGACTGTGTCATATGTATTATATTCTGGACACTGTAGTGATTGATTATTAAACATGTCAATCCTGATTCCTCTCCCAGCCCTGCTCTGGGGACCGTTATTATCACATCAACCCTGACACACAGACGCCCTCCCACATTTTTCTTCCTTCCTTCCTTCCTTTTTGTCTTTCCTTCTCTCTCACACTCTCTCTCACCCGCAAAACACACAGTCACTACACTTCGCAATTTATTCACTTTCGCAGTCTCTTTCTCGCTTTCTCTGTCTCTCTCTCTCTCTCTCTCTCTCTCTCTCATAGTCTCTCTCCCACCTATAAAAACAGTCACTCTACTTTGTAATACATTCTGTCTCTCAGTCTCTCTCTCAGTCTCACTCTGTCTCTCTGTATATCTCGCTTTCACACTCTCTGTCTCTCTCACTGTCTCACAGACACACACAGACACAACCGCATAGAAACGCGTAGACATACTCGCAGAAACAAACACATACCCATAGACAGAGACAATCACACACAGAGACACTCTGTGTCTCTCTCTGTATCTCATTGCCTCTGTGGCTCACTCAGTATCTCTCTGTCTGTCTGTCTGTCTGTCTGTGGCTATGCAAGTCTATGTGTCTGTCTCTGTGTCACTCTCAGTGTCTCTGTACCTGTCTGTGTCTCTACGTCCCCACAACCTCAGGGTTCAAAGTGCATCAATGTAAATTCTCCACAATTCTGCATTAATATGAAATATCTTCATATGTTTCTGTATTAACTTTGTTTTATAGCAATCAGCCCCATCTCTGCGTAACACGCGGGAAAAGGGTTTGCAAAGTTCTAACGTTCCTGGGATTTGAAGAGAAACAGTTTATTAAACCCTAATCTATAAAGATATGAAGCGGTTTATGAACTCACCAGAACCTCGGGATTTTAAGTGCATCAGTGCAAAACATTCCTGATCCTCGATTCACACCAAATATATCCATGCGTTTTTACATTAACTTTGAATTATAACAATAAGCCACTCTCTGGATAAAACAACGGAAACGGGTATGCAGAGTCCTCACATTCCATTGGTCAATGAGCAACAGGTAAATAAAATGCAATGTTTGCATTCATATCAAATGTATGAATGTGTTTTTGCAATAGCTTTGTGTTTCGATTTTAACCCCAAAAACGGGAAAACCACATGGAGCGGGTTATAGAATCCCCAGATCCCCGGGGTTCAAAGCGCAATCGTGCAAAGTATTCCTAATTCTGCATTAATATTAACCAAATAAACTGATTAATATCCACGCCTCGCAAGCCACAGTCCCTGTAGCTCAATGGTTAATCGCCTCGCCTCGCACTCCACAGTCCCTGTAGCTCAATGGTTAATCACCTCGCCTCGCACTCCACAGTCCCTGTAGCTCAGGGTTTAGAACCCTCGCCCCCCACCCCACAACCCTGTAGCTCAGGGTTTAGACCCCTCGACCCGCACCCCACAGCCCCTGTCGCTCACGGGTTTGACCCCTCGCCTCGCACCCCACAGCCCCTGTAGCTCAGGGGTTAGACCCTCGCCCCACCCACAGCCCTGTAGCTCAGGGTTAGACCCTCGCCCCCCACCCCACAGCCCCTGTAGCTCAGGGTTTAGACCCTCGTCTCCCACCCCACAGACCCTGTATCTCAGGAGTTAGAACCCTCGCCTCACACCCCACAGCTCCTGTATCTCAGGGTTTAGACCCATCGCCTCGCACCTCACAGCCCCTGTAGCTCAGGGTTTAGACCCCTCCCCTCACACCCCACAGCTCCTGTAGCTCACAAAAACAGACATACAAATATAGACACAGTTACACAGACTCACACAGTGACACACACACACAAACACACACACATTCAGACACGCACCGAAACACACGTATACATACACATAGACATACACACAGAGAGACACACGCGCGCCTGATAATAATCGCTCCAGAAAAAAAATAATAAATTGGTCATTTTCACCCCACGTCTGTTTGGGGGACGCTGCTGAGCGAAATTGGCTTTCACCCACAAATACACAGAGGGCGCTGTATAACTCCGAGGCGTCGCCGTCGCCGTCGAGATCTTGACCGGTCCGTTGGGGGCACGTGACGCCCGGTCAACATCGACGGTCTCGAACCCCGACAGTCGCGGCTTTATTGGGAATCGCTGAGATTTGGAGCCGAACTCCTCGCGAACGCGGAAACGTCCCGAGGCGACGACGAAGGATTTTTCCTCGCGAAGCGATCGCGCGATTAAACCCCGAGTCACCGGGCAATTAATTCTGGTTTGGAAGTGGCTCAGACCCTAACCCTCCATCAGATGTAATCCACCCCCACAGCCCACACACCAGCAATAACCACCCCCTCCCCAAACGCTCCCACCACAAACCCCCAATCACCTCCCACACCCCCCACCCCCACCCACCCCCCTCCTCCCCCCAAACAAACACGCAATCGGAAGGGGGGTACATGTTTATTGACGTTGGGATCAATGATAATGTGGGAAAATTATTTGCTCACATTTCACAACCTTCTTCGTGACACAGATTCAAAGCCGCTAAACCTGGAGCAAAGCCGCCGCAGAATTTATTAAAACGCTCTTTTGTGTTTGACTTTCAATCCCAAATTGTGCTTAAATAACAATAATAACAGCAATAATATTAATAAGAATAAAAATAACATTAACAATTATAATAATAAAAAAGTATCAATTACCATAATAGTATGAATAATACTATAGAAACTACAACAACTATAATAATTATACTAATATTAACAAAAACAATAACAATAAGCATAATAATAACGATAATAACAATAACAATTATAATAACACTAACCACAATAATAATAAAAACAGTAATAACAATAATAACGTCCAGAAAAACAACTATTTAAATAACAATGATAACACTAATAACAATAATAATATATTCATAATAACCGTAATAATGACAATACTAATATTAGTGTAATAGTAATCTCTGCATTTGATATAGAGCTTTTCACGTTTTCTAGACGTCTCAAAGCGCTTCACAGAATAGATTGTAAAGTGAATTGACTGTATATTTATGGGCGAAACGCTGCAGCCAATTGCGCACAGCAATGCCCGCACAAGCATTCGTGGGCTGAAGTGTCCTATTTATTCCTTTATTTTCTTGAGGGATCATTATTAGGCGAGTGGAGTCAGGAAACTTGTCCAAGGTTAAACATAATAATAATCAATTTATAATAATAATAATGACAGGAGATACTGTTCACCTCCCCTAAAGGAGGAGAAGGGATTTGACTAAACAAGCGCATTGAGGCGTCTGCAAGACGTGAACAGCGAAATATCAAATGACGAATTATTATCAATATTATAATTACTCAGAATATTGTGGGCAGTTAAACAGTACAGCTCCACCCTCTGGTACTGTGGTATTATTACTGCAGGTTTTTATTTGTAATTTATAATAATAATAATAATCCTTGCATTTGATATAGCGCTTTTCACGTCGAGAGGACGTCCCAAAGCGCTTCACAGAATATACTGTAAAGTGAATTGACTGTATATTTGAGGGCGAACGCGGCAGCCAATTGCGCACAGCAATGTCCCACAAACAGTCGTAGATAGAAAATGACCAATTTATTATTGTTTTTGGTTTTGGAGGGAGTATTATTAGGCGTGTGGAGTAAGGAAACTTGCCCAAGGTTTCGCCCTGCCTGGATTTGAACTCAGGTCTCTCGCTTGCAAAGCGAGTGCTCTAACCACTGAGCTACAGGACTCCACAAATTTGAACCGAGTCTAAATAACACCAAATGATTATTTTCCTCAAATCCACAACAACAACAATAACAACAAGATTCCATTTATAGAGCGCCCTTCACGTCAGGAGGACGTCCCAAGGCGCTGTACAGTTGGCTCCGGAACCGAGCTAGGGGGAAATGGTCAGGGTGAGGTGAGGGCAGGGAGGGAGCGAGGAATGGGGAAATGGTCAGGGTGAGGGGAGGGAAGGGAGGGAGTGAGGAGGGGATCGAGAGAGGGGAGCCGTAGGCTCGGTTAAAGGCAATGTCTTGAGAGGGGCGTTGAAGGAGGAAAGGGAGGAAGCGGCGAAAGCACTGGGGGATAGAGTTCCAAAGCCTAGGGGCTGAGAGGCTGAAGTCCCGACCACCGATGGTAGGGCGGTTGAAGGGGGATGTGGAGCAGACCGGAGCCAGAGAAACGGAGGGTACTGGCAGGTAGGTAGGGGGATAATAGGTCGGAGAGGTAGGAGGGTGCGAGGCCTTGAATGGCCTTGTTGGTGAGGATAAGGATCTTGAATTCGATCCTCAGGGGAATGGGGAGCCAGTGGAGGCGAGCGAGGGGGTGATTGATATTGTCGTGAAGCATGGTGCGGGACAGTCCATGAGCTACAGAGTTCTGATTGACCTGTAGCTTGTGGAGGGAGGTGCCGGGAAGGCCGGCGAGGAGAGATGGAGCAGCAATGAATTGCTGTCTGAGACTGACTGCTCTCCAGCATTAAATGGTGATAACCAGACCCAGGGATCGAGCAACACAAATAATGTCATGGGATTCAGTTTAGGTAATATAATATTACAAAATAATTGTCCGTGTATTTGACATAGCGCTTTTCACGTTTTCTCGATGTCTCAAAGAGTTTCACAGAATGAGTTGTGCACAAGTGGTCGAAACGCGGCAGCGTCTTGACATTGACACATGAAGGGGAATCAAAATGGATCGGTCAATTGGAAGACAACACCGAGGGGAAGCTCCGAGTCGTGACACTCGTAAAGGGTGCGGGTGTGGGGTGGGGTGTAGATGGTGGCGGCCATCTTGGTAAAGGCGATGAAAGCCGACCATTGACGTCATGCGTGTGACACTGTGAGTCAGGCGTCGGCCATCTTGGTAAAGGCAACCGCAAGCAGGGAGTGACGTCATGTGACTGAAGTAGGGACACATTCTCGAGCCGGCGAGCGGCGGGAACGGGCGGGAAACCCGTGTAAACCGGGCGGGAGTCGCGAGCAGCGAAGACAGAGGGTGTCGTTGTCTAAAGGCCGCGGACGGGCACCGGCCGGACGAGATATGGTCAAGTCTCCGCCTGGTCACCTGGGGTCAAGGCCACGGGACGTTGACCGCGCAGCGACGGCCAAGAGAGGCCTCAGGCCCCGCGGCGACGTTTCATATTCCGTCACGAAAGGCCGAGTCTCGCCC